TCTCAAAAATATTTCTCCTTCCCTTTTCACTACATTATTTTTTGTTTGCCTTTTGTTTATTCATAACACAGCCACAGTTTAAATAGACAATAGAAGCTCTTTTGTTACATAATTTAAAATAAGATACATTGCATTTCTCAAATCTGATAAAGCAAAGCAGAATTCTCTTACACCTTGTGGCTTGAAATGCAAGGTTATTTTTTTCGAGTCAGAAACTATTCTTGGTATCCTCAGCAAGGTCTCACACTTTAAGAAAAGTCCCATTTCACTTTCTTATCAAGAGCCACCATAAAAACACTTAACACCCTCCCCTTTTTCAGCAATTGTTTTACTGATGGGATTCATCTTCTGTTCTCCTCTAATTCTAATTACTACCCCCTTAATAATTATAGTAAGATTTTTTCCAACTCATTTTAAAATAGTTGCTCTTCTGTATCACTTTCTTTAAAGGAAGAAAGCCATTTTTTCATAAAAGCAGGTCATCTTGGTGTCTCTGTGAATACTCCTTTAACACATTGCCAGGACATTATAACTAGACTACCTTTTGAATGGTCAGCTTTTTAGACCTTTAGAATGGTCTGCTGGGGTAGGGGTAGCTGGGGGAAACACACACAGAGTTGGGCCTCTTCCATCTCTTTCACTGAAGAAAAGTATCATAACTAACTGAAGCAAGCACTGACACTCAGTACCAGTATCAGGCTGTCCTACTGTCATGCAGCAAGAATCTGATTATTTAGTAGAAACTGGTGCAAGCTCAACATTACTCAACATTAGGGACACATTTCAGAAGATTAAGCAGCTACTCAAAGCTAGAAAGTGAAAGTTCAACATGTAGAAGAGTAAAAAAAAAAAAAAAAAGAAAAATCAAAATCAATCATTCCTCTCACCTGAACAGTTCTGTCTCCTTCCTGTAAATGCTCCAGATGTTCTGGTGCAGGCCTAAAAAAGAATAAATAAAAAATTTTGTACTTTACATTTCAGTTGAGCTTTAATGCCAGATGATGCATTAGTGTCCAGTATTAAGCAACTGTGTAATAGCCAGTGACAGAAATTTACTGGTCTTCAGGAGTTTCATAATAGAGAAAGAATGATGTCTAGGATTAGTAGCAGTCTGAGGATCTAATTCTGAGAATCTAAATGTTAAGGCCAAGCATATTCCTGTAGACAGATGGCCTGGTTTTTTGTTTTTTGGTTTTTTTTTGTTTGTTTGTTTTGTTTTTGTTTTTTTGTTTTTTTGGTTTTTTTTGGGGGGGGGAAGGAGTGGAGGGAGAAAGAGTGTAGGAACTAACCCCCAAAGTGATTTGCAATGAAGCATTCTGCATCATGTCACATTCATCTGAAATTATCTAATCTGTTCAGCAGCACAAAATACCTAACACAATGAACAGCTTCTACAAAGGCAACAAAAAATTTGAACAGAAAAGGCTGCAAAGCTTCTAAACTCAGTATCAGATAATATATTATTATCCATTGCTTCAGCTCTCTAACCCTTTTTTGTTGCATGTGCTTGACTCAAGCTGCTCCAGACAGGAGCTTATTAACACTATTTATCCGTAAATGAAACCGTGAACATCACACAATACACAAGTCTTTAGAGCAAGGTACCTAAAACAAGAGAAGTAGGACTAAAGCATGCCTTCTCATGCTATAAAAGCAATTTGTTCCCCAGAATTATTTTCCAACCTGACTTGAAGGATTATTATAAATATGGAAGAAAAGAGAGCAAGGGGAAAAAAAAAAAAAAAAAAAAAAAAAAAAAACAAAAAAAAAAAACGCTACACACCACACAACACCACCACCCAAACTAGCAGTGTTCAGACAATGACATTGTAAAACCATATTCCTATTTCAGGGATGTGAAATAATTTATAAGGTAATACAACAAAGTATTTTCCATATGTAATAGTTTATTCATGCCAGAGGACAGATCCAGTTGTAACTAATCAGTGGAAAATTTAATGCAGTAGCTGCAGAGAATTCAAATAGTATGAGGGGGTGGGGTGGGAAACAAACCAAAAAAAAAAAAAAAACACCACACACCAAAAACATACAAAACCAAACCACAACCAGGAAAGTCCTTCATATACAAACAGCAACAGTAATTTCCATTTATAATTGCCTTCTATGACAAACACAAGCATCCTTACAACAGAATAAAGGACAGCATTAGCACTTCCCAATGGTTGAAACCTATGAGCAAGATTTTGTGCTTTAAAAATCACAAGTTTAAGTAAAAGCACTGAGTAGACAATTTGTCAGACAGAATTGTTAAGGTAAGCAGCCTCACCTGAAGTGCCCACATCCAGCTAGAAGCAGTATCTACATACTACATACAAACACACAGGTCTACACAGAAACCAGGGCTGGTTTCACCAAACCTGCAAACTTTAAAGACAAGCCAAAGGCTGTGTGAGCATTTCATTGGGATCACATGGCAATCAACAGTAATTGAAGTTATCAAAATTTAGCAGAGCTGAAATTTTATTTCCATATGGTCAACCCATGGCAAGCATGAGGGATGGTGGGAGTCTGTACAGAAAGAGGCTTAACTTAAGCCAAGATAGGTTGCCTTTCCCATGAGCAGAGGTCACAGAGTGCTTTCCCCAACAAATGGTAACCTGCCAACCTCTGAGAACTGAAGGTTCAGTCTATCAACAGCTGGTCAACTTTATACAGCTTTTGTTCTTTCAGTTTATAAGCAAGTTTAAGCTAAAACTTAAGATGTCAGTCAAACCAAAACAAGTGTCCACATAGGGCTTAGCTCAACTCAATTAGAATCATAGAATCCTTTAGGTTGGAAGAGACCTTTATGATCATCAAGTCCAACCATTAAGCCAACACTACTAAGTCCTCTGCTAAAAATTAGCTTCAAATCAGTCTTAACCTGAAGCAGGGCTATAGATAGTTTTGCTTTTAACATGATCCAAGCAATTAAGAATTCCTCTTTGGCTAGAAAGGACAGCTACTCCGACCAGGTCTAATGAGCCCCGTCTCAAACATGTCCAAATGCCCTTGTAGTGCAGTGCGACCGTGCGCACGGAGGGTCAGGACTCACCACCACCCCACTGGCTACTGCAGCCTCCTCGAGTGAAAAAC